TCTCAATCTCAATCTCTCTCTCTCTCTCTCTCTCCCCCTTCTTGTGCTCGCTGCAAGGCATCTCGCCCGAAGCTCCTTTACTGTTGAATGTGAAGTGTCAACTCCGCTGATGTGTTAGATGTGGCCCACCACTCCCTACCTGTGTTGGACGTGAACTTCCATGCTTTTGAATGCTTCACACGACTCCCCTGGCGTTGCTTGTTTCGTGCAAGCCCCGGTCTCTGTCAGATTCGACATCCCAAGCGGCTGCTGTGCATCTACCCGCCTTGTGTTAGACGGATGGCATCTCGCGCCCCCCCCCCTCCCTCCCTTGTCTAAGATGAATTGGAAGACGCCTTGTTGGATGTGCATGCTCGGCATAGTTGCTAATTCCCAGGCTTAGCACAACTCCGTCCTGGTGTTGGAGGTGGGCAGTGAACTCACTTGCCTGTGCAGCTTCTCAGCTCCGCATGACTGCCGACCTGATGGATGTTTTGTCCAACACGCTCCTGCGCTGGGTACAGACTGTATGAACTCGCTCGCTGCTGGATGCTTCACAAAGTGACATGCAATCTCAGTTTTTTGCGCTTATCCGTGATTGTGTCCTTGTGTTGCATGTGAACTCGCAGGCGTCTTGATGCTTCGCACCACCCCCTATTCTATTGAATGCTTGGGGAAAGTCCTCCTTGTCTTGACTGAAAGCTCTTGCTTTCACGGTTCTTAGACACCCATCTTTTGTGGGAAGTTTTCAAGTTCGCATCTTGTCCTGGATGTTTCGCCCAACGGTCCTTTTTCGGCAGATGTGAACTTCCCAGCCTGTGGACGCTTCACGAGCCTCCCTCGAGTCCTGGTGTTTGAAAGCCTTCAGTCTACTCATGAAGCTTTGAGATGACTCACGGGTCTGGATTGCACATCCAGCAATTTGGGCGATTTGCTTTTGCGCACGTTCCGCAACTGCGCCTTGCATTTGGAAGCCCAGGATGTTCTTTCCAATCGAGTTCGTGGGCTGCCCGCGACGCCCGATTGTTCCCAGCTGGCTTGGGCTGCCTATAAATGGCTGGCAGGCGCCTTGGCCCTGTGTGTCGATGTTTTGGAAGCGGATAGTATGACACAGAAGGCAACTTGGGCAAAACCATTATGGTAGGGACCAAAGAGACACATGGCAACGAAGCACATGCGACGTGATGGGAAGAGAAAACTCACATCGAGGGCGAACCAAATCCTACAAGGTTTTGGGCTGATATCTTCGGTACTTGGGCTAGCAGCTGTGACACGGCGCCTTGCCTTGCTGCAAGGGGCACACGTGGGCGACAGTTTGGCCAGCTCTTGTTGGCAGCAGCTGGCAGAGCGAAACAACACATTTACCCAAATGAGTCCGACACATCAAGCATCGCATGTCGGTTGGAAGGCAGTATAACGGACGCACCCACTTTGTGTCGTGTTTGAGGTCTTTCAAGCAATGTGCCGACTTACGGGGGGAGACTGCTGACGCAGCTCAAGCCCCCTCCAGTCCTCAGCAGTCCGGAAGTATCATGGCATCCAGATGAGAGGGGACCGGTATCTCTTACGAGGATGGCAGGGATGATACGCCAACTTACCCTCCCAGCTGAGACATATTGTGCCTTGTGAGGCTAGGTCGGTCATGGTGACGAGATCAGCTTAAGTAGTTCTTTCCACCTTAGGTTCACTTGTGTCGTGGAGGGGGGTTACGACCACGCGGAGACATGAGCATGAAAGCGAACGTCACCAACCTTCAGTCCTGTGTCCGGCTCTTGCAACATTTCAAGGCCACTAGAGCGTGTGCAGTGCGGGGGGCAATGGGGCGGGCCTCCCGACATTTGGCGTGAAAGGAAAGAGCAAGGACTCGGTCGGGAGAGTAGAGGTATGCAAGGCAGACTCAGGATCAATCAACTTCTTGCTCCACTCTTTCAGCCGCGCCGCTTAAAGTAAGGGTGCGCTCCTGCGATAATTTTGAGGTCTATGGCAGATGCAGCAATAGACAGGGCCGACCGTATCAAAATCCCTGCTTTTTCCCACTCTTCCGCTGGTGAGGGCTCACAGGATGCCTTGGTGTCGCATCCGCCTACAGCTTTAGTTGTCGTGCATCAGGTGAGTCAGTGCTTAAAGCGGCATCCTGTTAATTAATTGGAACTACTACACAGTCTGGCTTTCGTCCCGAGTTTGAATTGTGACACTGGGTACGGTACGTGGGGGTGGTGCGTGTTCGGAAGCAAGACTTGCTTGGCAGGGCATTGTGCCGCGAAAAGCTGGCGTCATGGCCCGAAGGGCCACCGAGCGCATGAGTCTTAGCTGCAAGTTTACTTGTGCGAAGAGGTGATGGTAGTCCTGGTAGGCTGTTCCTAACCGCAGCTAATCTCGCGCCTCATGTACGACCAACACATATTTGGGAAGTTGCAAGTTTGCCACGTTTCTTCTTGATGCAGGATTGGGAACCTCGTGACCGTTGAAGAATTCATGGACCGCATCGAGCCACAGCATTTCTTTGATGCTTTGGAAGACCTTATGGGCGGCCTCTGCTTCCAGGTCTTGGAAAAAATCATGCTGAAGCGGTTGCCGACAGTTTGGACAGCGCTTCCAAGTTCCGTGCAGCATGAACTGAAAATGAAGGTCCTGGAGGACACCAAGCACAGCTTTGGCAAGGCTATGGTGGACTTAAAGACGAACATCAGCTCTATTCTTGACCTGCAGGAAATGGCAGTCGAGACTTTTGTAAACAACCCTCGCATGATGGTGGATATGTTCAGGTCTGTGGCATTGAAGGAATTGGTCTTCATTCAGCGCTTCGCAGCCGTGATGGGTTTCGTCCTCGGGCTCGTTCAAGTGGTATTCTACATTATGTTGAAGGACAAGCCGGGAATGGACTACATCATGCTGCCAGTCTCTGGACTTATCATTGGCTACTTAACCAATCTGTTAGCATTGAAAATGACCTTCCGGCCAGTTTGGCCTCATCAGTTCTGTAATGGCCGAATAAATGTGCAAGGGGTCTTCTTGAAGCGGCAGCGCGAGGCATCGCAGAAGATGGCAGAGCTTATCTGTAGAAACGTAGTGGATGCTAGAGCCATGCTCAACTACATGCTGCGGTCTCCTTCCTCCACCGGGGTGGAAAAGGTTTTAGAAATCTATCGGAACCACGTCGGCCGATCTGTCGACAAGAGCATGGGCATCGCCAAGAACATGGCAATGGTCGCACCCGCCACCCTTGGCTCTCAGATTGATGAGATGAAGCAGGATGTGATAGACTTTTCCTTGGAGCTTTTGCCACAGCACTCAAGAGCGATTGAAGACTACATGGACAGGACCATGAATGTGCAGGAGACATTGACCTGGCGCCTTTCGCGCATTTCGCCACCGGAGTTCGAAAGCATTATTCATCCCATTTTTCAGGATGATGAGTGGATCCTGTTGGTGGTGGGTGGCTTTTTAGGTGTCATCATTGGTTTACTACAGGCTTGGGCGCTGCAGGCAGTTTGAAAGACTTGCTTCCCTTGCCGTGCGAAAAAAGCTGGATCCATCCAGAGCGAATTTGCCTAGCTGCCTATGCTGCGCTTGCTGCTGACCATGTGAATGGCTTGAGGGTTTTATTCCTAGTAGCAATTCCGGCGAGAACATATCAGACCAAAATGACTACAACAGACCATGACATAATGATGGACGACAGAAGCCTGCAATAGAAGAAGCAGTGCGAATCGGAAGAAGATCTCTCTCCTCCGAACCGAGGCGAAGTCTACGAGCACATGGAACTGCAGCTGCGGCAGGTTTTGGAACGTGACAGAACCTGCGCCAGGACCCGAGGGTGCAGTCTTCCGGGTGGGGCCCCAGGGTTTTGTAGGGCTCTGAAGAGTTCGAAACAAATCCCGTTTTTGTTCCAATAGAGATGTAGTATGCTTATGGAAAACAATGAAGGCCTCCATAAGTTGAGAGATGGGAACCTTTCGAATCTGAGGCCGAGCTTGCGGCGAGATGCTTGTCGCTGAGCCTCCAGCTGAGCTTTGAGATCAGGAGCATGCTGTCTATGAGGAGGGGTGCAGACTAACATATACTAGAGAACTCGCCAGGTCGCAACCTGATCTCGGACGTGGTTGCGTTCTTGCTACTAGCGGCGACGCATTTGACACAGACGGACGGCTTGCCTTCGCTTGAGGTGGTTGTGTGCCTCGGATGACCGAGTAATCGCAGGAAGTGTCAGTGTCAGAGATGATGTTCAAAAATGATGCTGTATTAGTGAAGTTCATAGTCCAATCCAGAAGCAAGTAATGGGATGCCACCGCTTTTGAGATTGAGGCTTTGGCAGTCACTCCCTGCAAGTGCGATGCTTGGCGACAGATGTCCCGGGCGTCAGATCTCGCGCTGTCGGCTGCAGAGGTCGCACCCCGCTGCCAAGTCGAACTGACCCCCAGCTCCAGAAGGTAATGCAGGACGATACTCTGCGGGATGTGCCATGTTATCGGATATCGTATTCTTGCATGCCAAGTGAAGAGCTTTAGTTTCGCAGGATGCCTGGCAAACCATGCTTGGAATGCTGGTTAGTAACTTGCTCAGCCTTCGCTGGACCTTTCACCTGTTCGCTGGAAACGGGGCAGAGGAGGCCCCGAAAAGCATCCGTGGTACATGCGCGTGCATGCGTGTGAAGTTGTGTGCATTGTGTGCATCGTTGCCTGCCAGGAGCTTGCACATGCTGCGCCGGAAGGCCACAGTCTAGATAAGTCCGGGCGACGCCGCATGAACTGCAAGCTTCAGGAAGCACGGCGCTGATCGAGGCTCCGGAGAGCATTCCTGCTGGCTTTCCCGCGCAAGTGAGACGGGTGCGAGAGGACGGGTCATGCTGCGAAATGCCACGCATGACAGCAAGTCGCGCAGCAGTAGCACGGCATTTCACCCGTTTTTGTGGGCCCGAAGGAGTTCGAGACAGGTCACTTCAAGACAAGCGGACTGGCTGGGCCTTTTCGGGAGCCAGCTCAGCAGGACCTCCAAAAGACTAGTCTCCTTGCCGTGCCTGCTTCGTGCGAGTGTGTGAGTCGAAACCCAGTGCCCGTACATGCATTGCATGATTCCTGGTGTTCATCCAAAGGACGCGCGGGAGAACCTGCTAATTGCTGTTGAATCGCTCTTCGATCTCTTGTATTTGATCGGAGAGGCCAGAGACCAACCCATGCCGCTGACCGGCGACAACAAAAGACGGTTGGAAGCCGCTTGCAGCTTCTCTAAAACACCAGGTGCTGTCACAGTTCCATCGAATCAGCGACAGCTTGGGCGACTACGGAATGATCCGCGTGGCTTTGTGGCTCCATCCCTGCACCTCGGCTGACAGATCTCGTCCACCGCGGAGCACGTGCTATTTGGATTGTAAGGTTTGGACTGCATGGTAGAGAAGCTGCAGCGGCTGCAAAGCAGTTTGAAAGGCGGGCACGAGAGGGGCGGTAGGATTTGTCATCCACTGGTTGAGCAGGCAAAAGGCTCTGTAAGTGCCGTGCTTTGCAGGTCTGAATAGGGCTGTGGACGCAGAGTTGGTGATTGCGAAAGCGCGTGGAAGAAGCTTGAAGAAGCCACTGCCTTCCGAACGCCTCTTGCAAGCACCATGTTTGTTGGCATCAGCTCACTCGCCCATTGCCAGCTGCAAACACTACATAGCATTTTGGGTGGATGAGTCGGGTCCGCAGCCAAGGAATGTCTGCTCGCGGCCATGCAGCCATCCAGCGAGCACTCGCTGCTTGTCATCTTTCGAGGAAACGCCGTTGTGAGACACTTTGTTGGCTCTCTGAGGATGGACGGGACTGCACGACACCCGGCCTGCCTGCAACGTGATGGGGGGGTGAAGCCGTTTTGCCGGCAAGGTCACTTGGCGGCCTTGCTCCAGAGCTTGGAGGACTATCTTTACCGTTGCAACCTTGTGGACTGGTGTGGCTCTGAAGCAGTCGAGCCCGCAACACCAGAACCCCAGCATCAATTAGATCAAGTACTGTCTGGGCTGCAAGAAGCAAGCGGCAGCAGGGAAAGCACGAAAAGAGGCCCGTGCAACTTCGGAAGCGAATGACTCTGACCGTGGACCGCGCCATGCCGCGCCCACTCCCACAGAACTTGAGCTCAAGTCGACAAAAAGCTGTGAACTACAACTCAGACACGGAAGTGTCGCAAGCAGGGCCCAAGAATCCGAAGGCTCCTAATGCCATAAAGGTCCTAATGCCATGCCTCACTGTGCCTTCGAGCCAGGAGCTGAAGTCTCACTCATCACCGGAGAGACTTCCGCATGTCGTTGAGGGCCTGGGCGATGCTTGCGCCCGGCACTTGGCAAACAGGAATTGTAGGTGTAGGCCGTAGGCATGCGTATGCCCGATTTCGCTTCGTGCCGCGCTCTCCAAGTCTCAGCTCCAGAATGTGCTCTCCTCCACACACTTTCGTGCACGTGTGCGGTGCTTAGCCGGTGGAGAGCCCACTTCCATGGCTGCCGGCCTTAGCAATCTTCGCAGGTTGGTGATGCCTTCCCACGGCTTCCTCCTTTAGCCTTGTCCTCGGCCTGTGCTGTAGTGTCGGTTGAGCACGTGAGCCGGCTCGCCTCAATTGGGGTGAGGCCAACATGGGGAGGGCAAGCAGCCGGCCTGCGCTTCGTATAGAAAACGGCTCCGCCCTCGAGGACAGCACTGTTTACTTCGTGTGGGGGTCCTCGTGCATGTCGCAAGTGCCAGGACGAAGCTCCGATGGGTGACTACAGCGAGCCAGAGGAAGAACAGGTCCGCAGTCTGGATTCGACACGTGCTTCTGTGCTAAGCGACTTGAATGTCGTCTTGGGGCAGGCCACAAGCGCCTGTGTCCCAATGCATGGACCTCGATGTATCCCTCGAAGCAGTGCCGGCGAGAGGCGAGGCATCGATTACGCTCTGTTGGATACAACTTGATCCAACGCTTGCCTTCACCTTCTCACTGTCACCGTGCGCCTGTTTTAGCTCAGAATTGCCGGTTCCAGTTACCATTGTGCATCCTCTTCGGCCTGATCCAGATGGTTCCAAGGTTCCAACTCCCGCCCCAGCCCGAACAAACGACCCGAAGCACAGCATCCCTCCGTCCGCGGGCCTGTTTCAAGATCCAGAATCTGCCACAGAATCAGGCAGTGTCGGGCTCTCGGAAGGCGACGGAACGCTCTTGCACGCTCAGGGCTCGTTCTCCCCAGCCAGCAACCAGCGCCGGGAAGGATGCCAGTGCAGCAGCCAGGTCCTCAGTAAAGCATGGCCGCGGATGGTACAGTTCCACAGTGCTTCAAAAAGTTGGGCCATGGTTCCTGCCCGAAAGGGATGACGGTAGCTTAATTCTACGCTTATGCCGCTGATATCTTCCTTCTCTTGACTTTTTCTGAGGCCCTTTCACTGCCCTTGCCGAATCGTGATCGGGCCAGAGAGGACGGTTGTATTTTGGATTATGTGTTTGGATTTGCCCATAGAGCCCATGGACACTTATCACCCCTGAGCCTGAGGACAGCCCTGACAAAAGCGCGTTTCAGTCCTGTCTTTTCTTCGCGCAGGCAGGCCGCAGTTTTCGTGTGGCCTGCATGACGAACTGTCGCATAAGAAGAGATGCATCGGTCTTGGCTCTGTGTGATTCGCACTCGGCATGTGGTTTAGTTGAAAAGTTCAGATCAAGACGTGCAGGAATTGGGTGCACAAGGCTAGGGCTTTCACGGCATACCGCTTTTGACGAGCTGCAGCTTCGTGTCAACGTTGCACTTCTGCCAAAGGCAGAGAGGACATGACCAGACCCCCACCCCCAAACTAGGCCAGCAAAGTGTGTAGAGTCGAAGCTAAGGGCATCTTGCAAGCATCCGCGCTGCGGGGGCAACCACATAGCGAACAACAAGCAACGAATTCATCCTCCGCCGATTGCTCACACGACCAGCACCACTGAATTGAAACGCTAGAGCCAAGCCACGGTTCATGGATGAAGCATGGTGCGCTTCCCCCTTGAGCTCACGCTGCCTGTGTCTTTGCTTCTTCTCCAACTGCTCTGGCTGCAGGCTGAGCTTTGTTGCAGCGGCCGCCTGCCGTAAGTCATGTCGTTCTGAGCAGACTACGATCCGAGGTCATTCGTTTATCCATACCTCCCGGATGAGCTGACCCTCCTGGCCAGAGCCTGTCAGTCTGTGGAGCTCCGTAGGAAGTCGGCATCGGCATGAACCGCACGGCCTAAGGCAGAGCATCCGCCAAAGGAAGCGGAGGCTCCAGCACCTCCCACGGTCACGCCGCAGACGGACGAGGAGCCAGAACGGCAAGCACCAAACGACGAGGCCCCCGCACTTTCGAAGTAGGAGATGTGCAGGTATCCTGAGCATGGGTATGTTCAGGCAGAGCCAGGACAAGAGTTTAACTCGCCTTCAGCATTGGACCCCGCACCAGCACAAGAAGTGAAAGTCCAACCAGGAGTGATCAGGATTGATCGGTCAGCTGCATCCCGAACATAATCAAACCAGGATCCTACCAGACAACCACTGAGGGAGGTTTAGGATATCATTCACCGGAAGCCTGACCCCCTTCAGACAAGGGCAAGACCAGAATGAAGAGTAGTAAGAAGCTGCAACAAGCAGCGACTTGTTCAAACCAATCCGGTCAGCTGAGACACAAGCTGAAGGATTGAGCTTGCAAAAAAATGCAACACGAAGACATCGACAAGTCAGGATCGTGGTTGCTGGGCTCACTGGGGTCAGCTCCTCCTACAGTCTTACAGCACAGCAGTAAGCCGCGGAGGCATGAGCAACAATAGCTGTGGCCGGAGTTTGTGGCCGCGGTTGTGCGATGGGAGCAGCAGCACAGTCTCATTGAAAATTGAGAGCGAAAGCAGGAGTACAGCTTGGGCTCAGCTCTGCAGCACCAGCACCAGCAGCAGCAGCAACAACAACAGCAACCACCGCAACGACAACCCCAATGCTATTCTAGCACGTCAGCATGAGCAGAAGGAGCAGGAGAACGCCAAATTGAGGTGAGTCCTATGCACATGCATATGCTAGCAGCTACTTATGCTAGCAGCTACTTCTAGCAGGTTGTTCTCTCGGAGAAGTCGGTGAAATGGCTCACCCCCACTGGGGAGAACAGGCAAGTCAGCAGCTTTGGCCTGCAGGGCTCCTGGATCACAGGACTTTTCGCTCAAGCCCTTCTTACTAGTAGCATCATTTGGCATTGAGGTCGGGCACTGCTGAGCTGCCTTTGTTTCCGTTGCCTGACTGTGATCACTGGATGGCCAGCTCGATGTGTCGCACTTCAAACGCAAAGCTGGACCCGATGTTGTGCAACAACGGGGTTCCCAGTTGAGGCTCTGTCAAAAAATCTTTGCCCCGAGGCTTGGCACGACATTCTACGCTTTGAATTCGCATCCAGCGGCTGGCTCAGCGGATGTAGACGGGCGTTCTGTGATTGTTTCCAACACTTCGTGCGATTATACATCCTGATAGCTCAGTGCATGTACTGCTGCTAAGACCTTGCAGATTTTCGAGCCTCGCCGCATGGCCGGAACTTGGAAATACTTTGTAGGCTTGCAGACGACCTCTTGCCTCTTTGCTTGAGTTGTGCTTTGGAGTCTGAGGGCAGTGGGTGGGGCAGGATAAGTAGTGCTTTCTTCCGCTTGAGAGGGTTTTCGCTTGAACAGGGTTTTTCGCTCAGTTGTGGCTTCTCTTGGGCCAGTTGGCTTCAAACGTCATGCCCGCAGGCTATCGTCAGCTCTACCACGACGTCCTGTCGTCCGGACAGAGAACCTTCGTGGTGACTGCAACAGACCCGGAAACTGCACGCTTGGCATCTTATGGTGCGGGCCTTTTGGATTCAGAGTCTACCCATGTCTGCAACCTTGCTGGCAACATTTTGCTCCGTCATGCTCCGTCTGAGGCGTGGTTTTTCAGGTGGATCAAGTTGTGGATGTGGCAGAGAAGACAGATGGCAAGATAAAATACATCGCAGAGCGCCCTGGCAGCTACAGCCTCGCTGCTCCATTGTTACGTCAAGGCAAAGATGAGGATTTGCAAGTGGCCGAGGCACACAGTGAAGTCTCGCGTGCAAATTCACCGAGTCATCAATCCAGACAGAGCGGACCAGAAGTATCTTCGAGTCTCAGCATCTCCGGCCGAAGCCTGAGCATCTGAGCATGAGCTTATCCGCCAAACTCTCTCTTTGTCTCACGGTGCAATCTGCTGCGCTTTCAAGAACGGAGGTGGAAGACGATTCGGGTGATGTGGATGAGTTGCACGATCTAGAGGTACCGTGAGCGGCCGCAGAGTGTCTTTACCTTGCTTGGCTGTCTCGAAGTAAGGCCGAGGTTACCGAGCTCTTTTCGTCTCTAGTCCATGACGTCGACGCACCGTGACCGCAGAGTGCTTCCATGACAGTCAGAGAATGCAGCGATCCGTAGCCTTCTGGGGGCCCCTGGCCTGGCGCACCAGGATCTGCACGCTGAAGTTGCAGCTCGAAATCTTCGCGTGAACGCATCGCGCGAGGGCGGTCTCTGGCAGCTGGCTTCGCTCCTCGGCCTTCTCCAAGGGGTTCCAACACCAATTTTCAGGGTTTTCTAGCTTTTCCTTTTGCGATCTCCAGGTCTTGCGTTTGTTTTACATGTGGACCGCGGAGGTTGTGGTTGGACAAGTACGCTGGGCACCGCTTGCGAAGCTTGGCTGAGCCAAAGCGGTCTTCATGTGGCAAGAAGCTGTCCAGAAGATGCATGGGGAACGACTGAGTATGCCATACTAGTGCCACAGTTGCAGGGCAGCGGCTTGCACTTTTTTTGTCTATGTTTGTGTGCTAGGGCAGTCCCTCTGTGCACTCTGCACGATCCATGATGCCGCCTGATTGCCCTTCGCTGCACCCGTTCCACCGAAATAAGGGAAGGTTCACACCGAGGAAAGACTTACATGCCCGACCAAAGGAGAAACTAGGTTTGACGGGACATTCTTTTGCGCGCCCATTCTTAGCGGTACCGGGGCATGGCGGGTTAGGAAGATGCAGTCAGTTTGAGCAGTACATGTTTGCAAGTGACTTTAGGAGTATGCGTAGTGCACTGGTAAACATATATGTGCTGCAAGGATGTGGCGTCGCTCTTGTCAACCGTTTGAGGGTGCGGAGTGCTATTGCTCATGTCAATAAAAACACTCGTGCATGGGAGACTTGACCAAGCAGCACAAGTGCATGTGGCACATTTGGCATGCTAAGTTGAGAGGACATGATATCCTTGAAGCCTAGCGGCTTGTACAGACTCCTTGCAAGTTGACCAGCTGTCTTGTTGAGACTCTTGTGGCTGGTGATAAACTGGTGTGCATCGTCGGTTGGCAGCGCCGCTGTTTTTTTTCCCCCCCCCGTCTTGTTGGTGCTTGTGATGCAGGCAGTGTTGTTGGTGTTGTGTCGTTATAGTGTTGTCTCGGCGTATTTGATGTTTCAGGAGCGATCGAGCAGCAGATGCTCTCCCAAGTCAAGGAGATCTATGAGCAGTACGCCAGCCAGCACATGCAGGACTCTTGCCGTGACTTGAACCAGCAGTCCTTCCTTTGCCGTGGCGGCCCCAGGAGAGTATAAATCCGAGCGACATGCCGCCGTCTGTACATGGAGAGGCCAATCTTCATGACATGCTGCGAGAAGGGTTTACGACATCTTGGAGGAAGGGGGCGACGAAGGGTACAGCTGCCATGCAAGGTGCGCGAGCTCAAATCTCTGTCGGATCCTCAGAAACGGAAAGACCCAGCAATCTGGGTGGCAATTGCAATATGTGAAGGTTTGACGCCGAGATTCTTCGCCTTGTGGGGGAGCAGGCACACGACCTCCATATATAATTACAAACACCTATATACTTACACTACAAATGTGATACGTTTTACCATGATGAATATGGTTACTATTGTTACAGTATCATGAGTACTGTTATTCTTACCGTTACTATCATGATTCATATTACTTAGTATGCATTATGTAGAATAGTAATGTATTACTGTTATTATTATTGTTCTCAGCATTATTGAAGCATTGCAGTTATTACGATTACTGGGATTATTGTTATTAACTATTCTGGCTGTATTTCGTTGTTTTCCGGAGAGTGACGCAATAACGGGCCCGAAAAAAACAAATACGTTTTTTCTATGACCGAAAGTTTCAGCACTCACGTCGCACGATGTGACACCGGCCCTCACTTGTTCAGCTCCGCTCGGGCCAAGATGCTTGTTTGTTCTTAGTAGTACTACTGCTCTTAATATTATTCTTTCTATAAAAATTGGTAGGGTTTAGGACCAGTTGCCGCGGGGCTGTCGATGGCGTGCCAGGTGGGTCACAAAAAAATATTGTCAGCATGATTATTAGCATGTTTATCATGATTGATGCCCATTTCTGTTCTCTTATTAGCCTTACTTTTGTTTTTGAAGTTCATATTCTAATGATTATAGCAGTTAACATTAGTAGCAGCCTTGTCATTCTTATCATCTGTGTCATTGCTTTGCATTTCCTTTGGTTTTGCGGTTGTTATATGTTATCAATTTTCTTATTATTGTTCTTGCTTTTCATGTTCCTTTCTGTAAGCACAGATCTCTCAGATCATCCTCACAGCACTAGTAATACAGCAAGCAAGCAAGAGTCCTGAAACAACCGTCTAGGATCAGTCAGTACAAGTGTGATTATCAACAACTCGTTGCATTACAACGGAGCATGAAGCTCCCGGTAATGATGGTAATGGTAGTACTACAAGTACGCATAGCAATAGTGATAGTAACAATAATAACGATGAGCACAAACTAATGACCACCACAATAGCAATACCAAAGACACTATCACTAACATTATTGTTATTAGTAATAACTTATTACTGTCGACCTCCTTGTTTACTTCTCTCCAGCAGGTCAGCTTGGGGCAGCTGCTCTTGCAAAGCCGCTCTCATAAGGAGCGCCTGCATTTGCTGCGCTCAGCATTTCAGGCAGGTCGGGGTAGGATTTAGGGTTCAGGGTATAGGATTTTAGGCTTAGGATTTAGGGCTGGGGATTTAGGATTTCCTTTTTTTCATGGACTTCAGGTGGAGCGCCTCTTCGCCGCAGCTGCGGATCCCGAGTCAATGGCAGCAGCATTTGTCGGATGAGCCGTTTCAGAAAAAGCGTGAGCAGCCTGCCACTGATGGTTTCAGGAAACATGCCTCCTGTGCAGCCTTCAGTCCCCGGTGCAATGGCTCAAATGGTCCTGCACCTGCATGAGGTAGCAGTATTTAGTCCACGATCTCTTAGATCACTCTCTCCGCCTCAGATCCCCCCGATGGCTCGGAGTAATGCTGATCCACTTGCAAGACCGTCCCGTCCGAGAAACCTTCCTGGCACAAAGGCTGCGCAGATGTGGAGTTGGCGGGCACGGCCGTTCGAAACGTACCATGGTCCTCTCGCGCTTGCTGAATACATCCAAGATCTGCTGCGGGAGGACCCTTCAGACTTGGACAGGATCTATGAGCTACCGAGTCCCGATACTGATCCTTTGGTATGGCAGTATGAGCATCTGCGTCAGTTTGTCATCGAATTTAACTTGCTCCTTGTCGCACTGACCGGCACATGCACCCCGGAGACATGCCCCAAAATGACTGCCTCCAACGACTGGCAATATTTGTGTGCTGCGCACAGGAAGCCGCAGGAATGTGCAGCTATTGACTACATGACGCATACTATTGATGGATCGACGGCTTTACTCACCGTGGCGTGTCCTTTCTCTTCCCGATCGCAGGTGCCGAGTAGCAGTACAAAATACTTTCAATCCATGTCTCGACGTTTGTACCGAATCTTCGCCCATGTGTATTTCCACCATAGACAGCACTTTGACATGCTCGAGGCCGAGAGAAGACTGTGTGCTCGCTTCTCTCATTTTGTAATGCGCTACCAGCTGATGACTCGCTCCATGCTGCTTATTCCACCAGAAGGCTACGAAATCCTGGAGTAGCGGCAAGTTTCAGCTGACCTGTTTGGCTCTCATGTTGCCTACCGCCAACAAAGAACCTCACTTGTTCAAGTCCGAGTGTGAGACTGCCATTGTCGCCCAGTTCCTGTGACGGCACTGTGCAAATCCGAGCGGGCTCTCGATGCGTTCATGTGCCTGGTGTTGAAAAAGCTGCTATGTGCTATGCACAGTTGCAAGTGCTGGATAGGGAGGACGCCTTGGAGCTGCTGTGAATTGTTGCCTGCCTGACAGGGGTCGTCGCGCAGGCGGGGAGATTGGGTTTTAAGGCAGGAGGCGTTGTCTGTGGCTGGCCTAAAATGTGCATCGGTGTGTAGCAGTCGGCCACGACCTGAGGGCGTAGCTTGCAATTGACCTTATTATGGAGAGCTGGGCTGAAGGAGCGGGAGTGTGCCTGCCGCAATCCGCGCGACCTGGCGAGCTCTGTGCGGATTCAAGGACTCCAAGGCTGCACTGAGACACTACTTCCTGAAGAGAATCAGTGGTGGCGGACTTGCCCCCTTGTCAAACGAGGAAACTGCCATGCTGCCAGTTCCCCCTTTTCCGGCATCGTTGCCTCCTGCACATGACACTGTTGCACCACGTGCGCCCGACTCTGGCGCACCATCAGACTTGGTGACCGTGCGGAGCTTGGGCTGCTCCGCACCGCAGAGCCGTCAGTGCACGTGTCATTGGTGACCTCAGAATCTCCCCAGCGACGGATGGATTTCCCACACTGGTCCGAGAGGCGTTGCTTCTTGTCGGCTTTCTCGATATCTGAGCTTTCCTTTCCTGTCCAGGCCGCACATCTTGGCACCACAAATCCCTGGGTCCTGCGCCATGGGGCATCTTGTCTGTGAGGGATGAGGGGGCAGGGCGAAAGTCAGCACGTGTTTCAGTCGGCCCTCGTTCAGCATCGCAGAGCCGAAAGAGTTCTATCCAAGCCGAGCCAAGGGAATCGGCCAGAGGACTACTCGACGCCTGTGCCCTCGTCAAGCTTATCTGCTGTTGGCTTTTTTTGAGCTCTAAGACTCTAAGACTCTAGGTTTATCCGAGTACCTTTAACGAGGGGGTCTTGGCTGCCTCCGCGACTGCTGATTCAGTAACATACTCCTTTTACATTCTGTGCCCCGCGCCTCCCTTTGCCAGGCAAGCGCTCTTTCCGTGGCCGATACGACCACCCTCAGTCCGCCTCGTGGTCCGAGACGCGAGACTGGGCAAGCAACTCTTGTCCCGGGGACTCAACATATTATAGTGGAAAAAAATTTTGTCCCCTTATAAGTATGTTTAGTGCCGGAGCAGACACCAAGAGCAATTACAAAGCACCCTTCGGGCAGGACCTCGATTCAAGAACTGTCAATTCAAGCACCACCGCATGCAGCGCTTCCCACATCCAATTCTACCGCCGATGATTCTCGGGAATTCGGGCTTGGGGCCCTGCTCGTATGCTTTACCGTCCATCGCTTGTTCCGAATCCACGCCCCACTATGCGAACCCCCTCGATGCGGTTTGTTTATTCGTGCGAGACTCTTTCCACTGCTCGACTCCAGTGCGCGAATCGATTCCTTATTCAACAGCACCCAAGCTAAGGACACGAATCCCTTTTCAGAGGATGTGAGACAGGATCCGGTTGAGATGGGGATGCAGGGAAGCATCTGGCCGGCAGAAGGGACAAGCAGCACCGACGACAGCAATCACAGAGTGCGACACTGTAATCGAGCCTGGCCAGGAGTGATAGCTGAGGCCAGACGTGTGAGGCTTCTCCCGATGTGGCTCATCTCTCCCCCCTGTCCTTCGGCGTTGACCGACGAAGCACGGCTGGGACTCTGGTAGGCCGGGGTAGTGTCATCCGAATACTGCGGCGCAGTGGAGCAAAGCCTAGGATTTGCATGTTTGCGAGGTGCTGACTCGAGCATGTCTCTGCCGCGAGACAAAGAATCGATCAGGAGACAAGCTGATATTGCATCATCTAGTGATCCAGTGTGGCAATTCGCGACAGCAGTTCAGACTACATTGAGATTTCAGCCAGGACTCTTTCAACAGAGTTTACGCCATCAAGCACACCACAGGTTGCGCCAACGCGCATTCCAGAGCAGCTGGGCTGAGCACTAACCCAGTATTGTGTTACACGGATCGCCTGCACCTAGCTGCGAGGTGCGCTGACACGCCTTCGACAAGTTCGAGACTCTTGGGCGCATCACCGGCAGTCGGCAAGAAGATGCCACCTGATGGTCTCCTTGGCTGCATTATATACATACACACCCCCCCCCCCCACACATATATATATATATATATATAGACTTACATAAGTATAAATAAAAGTGTATGTATGTATGTATGTATGTATGTATGTATGTATGGGCATACATACACACAGACACACACACACACATCTACATATATATATATATATAGATACATACACACATGTATACGTATACGTACATACACGTATATCCATTACCTATCTATCTACCTACCTATCTATCTGTCTGTCTATCTATCTACTTCTTTTATCTAGCATCCATCCGTCCGTCTGTCTATCCATCTACCTATATCTATCTGTCTATCTATCT